GTCAGGAGATCAAACATATCAAGAGTTTCCTCCAAACGATTCACTACCCTACTATTTGTACCCAATTTATCGGCCAAGCACCAATTTTATGCCAACATTTCCGTACCATGGTTTCTTTGTGTGCCCAAGTATTTGTGTAATGTATTGGAGTGTTGACAGGATTGTTTACTGTAAATTACGGGTGAATTCTATCGACTCGGTTCAATTTGACAGTGTACATGAATAACCTTTTCTTGAGGAAAGCTTAACTTATTGGTAAACAGTCCTATTCATGTTTATTCCGGACAATACAATGCAAGACCTGACTCTGTATAGTGTATTTAGGATTACATTAAACTTACCCTTAAGAAGATGCTCATTTTCGGATCGAGTGAAAGAGAGATGCTGCCACATGCACATCTTATTACCGTTCTAACACTTCCCCGATAATATGTTCCTTAACTCCAAGTGCTAACTACCGCCTGTCATTGGCATTAGCATTTGACAATCACATCCCAAATAACGGGGTTCATCTGCAGCCCTAGACCTACGTTCCCATTTGATTTTGTGGAAGCCTTCTAGAGAGTCATACGCTCACCCACGCCCTCTTGATTGGCTAAATTTAAGCAGAGCTCCACCCTTGATATACCGGTAGTCACCCAAAGTTCAGGGTCGATCAGTTCCTACAATCACGGATAACCGAAATTACCGACACCAGATTCACACTCAGACCGTTGCCGCTGTCGTGTCGCTGGGATCGTATGCACTAACCGTACTCCCTTTCCTCACCTATCCCATCAGTCATAAAAAAATTTCCACGTTTGCATCATCCGTTGATTAGCTGGTTGGGAGGTTGATAGGATCCAAGCAACCCGCAGACATAAACATCCGTTTATTATACCTTGAGACTCATAACACAAGCGGATATCCAAAATGAAAAAGGCAGCTAGATAATGAAGCTGAAATTGGTATTTTGAGACTGACATGCTGATTGTCCACACCGTTTACCATAACTGGCCCATTGGCCTTATCTTCCACTTAAATTATTTTTTGGTGCAATTCACCTAGTAAGGATTGTGATATATAGGAATTCCTGCTAAATTTCCATCATGTAGATTTAAAGGGGAAGGGTGGAATTTCTTGTTATATCATTTGTTAAACTGTATGTTTAGCCACGTGAGCTATTTAGCTTCTGGGAATTAGATTGTCACAAGGTATCGTGAGGTCCTGACCAATCTCATGGCCATTCAGCCTTCCTGTACTCCGGTAATAAATGCTTTATTGCGTCATCAGAGATGACTCGAGGCGCTGCACATCATTTGAACAGAGAAATTGACAGAGGGGTTCAAACATTTACTATCACATCCAATCAAACCACACGGCAATTTTCTTTACACCCAAGCAATAGGGTCACGCGAGCGCTGGGGTGGAGAACTCTTGCAGCGATGTGGCCACACTGGATTATGTACGGCCGCTTTGCGAGCTACCGAGAACAAGCTTTCGTCTCCCCTGTCCACTGGTAGGATTCCTCTTACCTCTTCCCCCTTTGGCGTCAGTGGAGGCTCCTGTATCGCCCGCGCAATCCGTCTGGGGCCGTCCTCTCTCGTAGTCGAGATAGAGGCAGTAGTGCGTGGAGATAGCCTGCACACGTCGGCCACCTCACTAGCCCACTCGGGGTGAATTATGTAGAAGGACGACCGGTTGGATCTATCGGTGGCCGAGAAGAGGCACTCGGAGCCATTGTAGGGCCTCTGCTGAGGGCCAGCGCTCTTGGGCAATGAATAAGAGGGAGGTGGAGGCGATTCACCGCGGAATTTTGAGATTAGAGGGGGTGCGCGGGGCGAACGGGGTGCAGTGGAGGAAGAGCAAGTAAAAATTTGGAGGCTTTTCACCGAGGTTTTGGTCATTTGTTGATGGTTTTGGGCGTTGAATTCGGACATTGGCTGTAGAGTGGACCGGATAACTGTGATTTAGCCAATTCATCACCCAAAAATATTTAAAATAATACTTCCGTGTAATTTAAAAACGAACTATTCATTTATGGCATTTGTTTCCACAAATTTTATATAAAAAGCATCTCTGAATCTTCTGCATTCTCATCCATGAAAATAGGAAATAGGCACGAGCCTCAGTTCTGACTTTGAGATGAAAGGCTACATCTGTGCCAATAATTAAAATTTTAATTTTTACTATTAAACTCACTGGAATTGATAGAACATTACACTAGTTACACCATTATTCTGGTTATTACCTAGTAGCGACTATAAGATCTCTTAAAATGGACTAAGATTATACGTTTTCTTTGAAATTTTGTCTAATTATAGGCGAAAGTTAAAACCATATTTGGTGAGATTCGTAAGTTTGAGCAGTCTTGTGAATGCTAAAATGATTAAAGGGATTTCACTTGTAATGTCTGAATTGATGAATTTTCTGTCAAATGAACAAGGACGCACTTCTGTGATACCCCCTGTACCTCGATTAGCTCCAATGGAATGTCGGATTATCTCAACTTACAATCATTACGATGCCGTCTTTTTCTGGATTTCATCGAAATGTATTTCTGCTGCCCTGGCAACGCGTTATATTTATACAACTCCAATCTATTTCTCATGGTACGTAAAGTTGGAAGCACTTTCATAAAAATCTTGCCATTAATCATCAACACATCATCCCTTATTTCCTACCACAAGGTAATGATGCATTATTCATAGATGAAAAGGGAAATCTTCTAATTGCTTGCTGTCATTATTGACAAGAAGTGTCATTGAAGACATACAAGACATGTAGGAAAAAGAGAGAGACGATTTTTAAAAGAGGTTCTAGGAATTATCAGCTCACAGTCCGTCAACCGATCCAAAAAGTGCTTAACTTTCCACATTACCCATACCTGGCCGATTCACCAATGTGACTATTAACTTTTTAATTTCCCCATTTAGATAATACCATATCTTTTTAATGGCAAAAGTTATTTTATTACAGTAATACGATGGTTTCGAAGGGCAATTTCAAACCTAGAGGTGGCCTGAAGTTGTGGTGGCCATCACCTCACCGTGCCTCTTGCTTCCACGCAGGATCGTGCAGGCAGTGAAAATAAACTTTAACACATCTGTTTTGATCCATGGTACCTACTTTGGACTTAATCAGAGTAGCTGAATAGATTCACTTGAATTCAAAGGTTCTTTGTCGAACTACTGTGTCCCTTCCTCCCACTTCTAACGATATTTTAATCACAAAACAAACGAACTGGCTGCAGAGTAGAATCGTCTGCTATTGTTCAGGATAGGTATCAGTAACTGTGGTTTTCTTTTAGCCCTATCAGTGATAAACCAGGTTTTGGGAGCGAATGTCCACCCACAAGCCTATGGTGTTTATTGGACCTCTTGATATGCTATGAAAGACGCATGTTCTTCACTTATGTTCCCGTCAATCGTTAAGTCTGAAAACAGGATTTCGGGTAACAGGCGATATGAAGCTGCTTTAGGGTAGTATTTGCATGTAAATATTAACTGGCATTAAGGTAATGTCAGTTCCGCACGAAACATAAACATTAGTAATTTTTTACTGAATAAAATGGTACCCTTTGGTCAACAACAACATTTCCAGTAAAAAAATTAAATTATTACAGCAAAATTAACAAAAATTGAAAGAAAACTTCGATCTCTTTAAATGTATTTAGGAGGGTGTATCCTTACCTTCGGGTAGAAAGAAAACAGGCAGGCCAAAGTCGCGCACAAGCAATTGTGTAAAAGATGAGATCGCGCCCTTTGTCCTTCACTAATTAGTCATGAAGCCGAAACACTTATTCCAAGCTATTCTATAAGTGCGTATTTTGTTAGCATGTGCGTTGTCTGGTTTTGATTGTTTAAAATCAATTTTGCCGTTTTCTGATTGGTCTGAACAACCGTAGGACCCCAGCGGGCCAAACAATTACAACTCAGCGCAAACATTTTGGCAATCTGAATTTTTGAGCAAAAGGATAAGACGCTGCTTTCCATGAGTATATGTAAAAGGGGTTGATTCAATAACTAAATGCTTCTTTCTTAGCACAAACTGCAATTGCCTTAAATGTAGTTTGGTCACTCTAAGATGTCGTAAAAATGCATTAAATTTGTTTTCTATCAGAATCGTTGATATTATAGCGGAAACTTTAAAATTCATTCAAATTTGTACTAGCATAATTAATATACCAAGGTATCGCTGATAATTCGCTACTGCTATTCGTCATAATGGGCTAGTTGTCAAATCGAGGGAACAAATAAATAAACCCTTTATCCCCTCAGTAATAATAGATGCAAACGTTTTGGACGCATGGATGTCCATACAATACAATATGGTTTATTTGCGATCTGGCAGTATTTATGCTTCTATGAGGGCATTCGTAGCATTATTAAAATTTAGGACTAAAAATATGCTTGTAGACGCATGGGAACACCACGCATACATTTGGCGTGGAGACCTGTGATTGTAATTGAGCCTTTATGAAAAGATTGTGAAAAATCTTTTTTGCACCAAAAAAATGACGTTTTCCTTAAAGTAAAACAAGATTTAATCGAATTGCAGTTATAGTTTTTAGCTCTTTCCATGCACAAGGCTAGCAAGAACTTGGGTAGATTTTACAGCAAAGTATACTTCAGATGTGGGTCCCTTTTTAAAGAATATTCACAGACTTGACAGATTGTGCACCAGCGCTTCTTCTTTCGTTTTATGTCTATCAAGTAGAGTTGCACCAGCTTGACTTTGTAGATATCAAGGTGTATACCCTTGAAGCTAAAACGATCTGATTTCAAGAATTCCAGGGAAAATGTTGAAGTCACGTACCTACTACTTTATCTGAAACGCAAAAAATATGCGTTTGATAAGACACTCGTCTGCAATTTTATACAAGTGCCAAATCACTGCCCGGATCATCTCCACTAATTATCGAATAAATTTGCTGTTAGACTGCCAAGTGATCGTGGATTTGGTGATTCATCGGAGGTAGTAGTAATTTCAAGTTTGATATTTGGGATTAAAAGACTGGACCACTATTGTTTTGATATCCCAAAAAATAAATAATTTGCCATTTTTGGAAGAGTTGTTTTGCACAAAACGAAACACAAAGAAATCCATG